ATACTGAATAACTGAACCTTATAAATTGTATATCTTAAATGTTTCTCACAATTATATCACATAAATGTTAAACCTAAAACCCAATCTAACTTTATTATTTTTTAAATACACTACCTAACAGAATACTCCATTCTACTAAATGTACAACAATGCATGCAACCATATGACCTGTCTTTGTAATACTCACTTGTGCTTTATAGTAATCTGTTTACATTAATGTTTTATCACTGATTTCATCATTGCTTAGTTAATCTTAAGTTAATTTTAAGCCAGCCCGTAATGCTATGCATTGTATAAGTGGCTTTGGCATGCTGCTCTTATCTGTATTTTTTTGTACCTCTGTATGTGTGCTCAAATTGTAAAATAAATAAATAAATAAATAAAAAAGAAAGAATGAGTGCATGAGAGAGGACAGGCGCAGAGTTATGTAAACAAACCAGGCGAACGTAAGTTTTGTAAACAACAAAGTGTACACGTCTGGTTTGTGTACAAGTTACATTGTGTACAGGTTGTCTCTACATTGATACGGTAGAATAAATAAAGAAGAACACTCCCATTCTCATGTAGCATCATTTTGAGAAGAAATGATGCTCTGAATGAAGGCAATGGAAATAAGTCACTCTGACTTTTTTGGGTTATCCTAGGTTCTCTACACATATGTTGTTATGTATGATAATCTATGTAACTGTATTTGTGTATACCTGAATAAACTTACTTACATACATACGAAAGGAATAAATTTCTACAGTTACACCCCCCGTAACACATTTTCTCTTTTGTTAGATTAGAAAGGGAAATGTTATTCTTGCCGTCACTTGTACAAGTTATCTGGCTACCACATCTCATATTTATGTTTATTTTAAATTTTATTGTGGGGTGTTTTTATCATCTTTTTATGTTATGTATCGTGTTTATTATATAGTTTTGAAAAAAATATCATGGACAGATTAATGAAAATGTGTATATTAACGTAATATACGACATTTAATGAGACTCGGTGATTATTATTATTATTATTATCATTTCTAATATGGCGTCACTTGGGCAAGTAGTCTGCTACCACATCTCACATTTATGTTTATTTATTCTACTGTGGGGTGTATTTATCTTATTTATATGTTATGCATCGTGTTTATTATATAATTTTGAAAAAATATCAGATGGATTAATGAAAATGTGTATATTAACGTAATATACGACATTTAAATGAGACTCGATGATTATTATTATCATTACTAATATGACATCTGGAGACATAAGACACTCTTACTGATTTTAATGTATACCTGCATGCCAGCACAGTGTGTAAGTTTATTTAGGTACAGGTATACATAAGTATAATTATCAGAGTATATATAAAATATGAAATAACTTTTAAAAACACTTGAAATTTTGGAGTTTCCAGATAAAATGGAGAGACTTAGTGCTTATTGAGCTCACAGAGAATGTAAACAAACAGGGTGGGGCGTGGTGACCGTATTAGAAAGTCAGGTGGGGGGAGCCGTATAGCGAGTTTTGGTCATAATTTGAAATGACCGTATTAGCGGAACGCCGTAAAGTGAAACGCCGTAAAGCGGGGCCCTACTGTACTCATTCGATAGAAAAAATGGAGTTCTAGCGAAATAGTTATGCTTTTTGTCAACTGGTACATTAGAATTGGCCGAAAATAGGGCTCAAAGTGGGCGAAATTGCTGATGCATAAACACTGTCGAGACCGCTAACTTCGCGAGAGCATAATTTCCTAAGTTTTCCATCAAATTTCATACTTTTGGTGTCATTATGATCGGGAAAAGATTCTCTATCATTTCACAAGAAAAAATAATTATTTTTTTTCGAAAAATTTCCGACCCTGAGAACAAGTTTAGGAGAGGGTCTGCCGACCCTGAAAGGGTTAAGTGCACCTCCAGTTGTGAGGCCTCGTGGGAGTCTTTGTTTACATAGAGCATGGCACTGTTCATCTGTGAATGTATGATAGGTGGCACTAACACTCACAGTCCCTCCTCCACTATCATTACACTCATTACTATAACTGTCATCACCGACACCACTACCATCATTGTGTTCATTGCTTGTATCAGAAGTAGTATTACATTCAACATTAATGTCAATGTGGTTAACCTCATCACACTCAGCACCACGACTTACATTACACTCATCATTACTACTAATAACATAGACACCACTGCCCTCAGCATGATGCTCACTATAGTTATCGACACAGCTATTGCACTCGTCATTATCGTAATTAAAGACTCCACCATTACATTCAACTTGTCCATCAGCCTTACATTCTCTATACATCTTTCCTTGTGCTGCTCAAGTCATTGTTTCAGGAAAAATTGCTGCCTCTCCAGTACTAACATGCATGACTGCAGGTTATATATTACTGGGGCAAGACTTGCCTCACCTGGAGGAGTGAAGCCCAAGTCAGCTGAGCCTGGTGGATGACTGACAGCTGACTCAGCTAAGCTGGTGTTTACAGCAGATGACTCACGAAATTGTAATGACACGATTGCAAACAAACCATACCATTACGATTTCGTGAGTCATGTTGACGGCAGTGAGGGGACTTGAGCTAGAGTTTGTCACGGCCACGCTAGCTGCAGATTCATCTGTAAAAACTTGCATTTGTGGTCACAGTGGTGCCTATGCTAACCTTCCTATGGTGTAGAAATATACCTAGTTGGACGAATCTTATTGTGGCTAGCTGGTCCAGTGGCTAACGCGACGGTCTGGAGTTTTGAGACTGTCTGACCGCGGGTTCAAATCCCGCCCGTGGTATGGTTTACAGCAGATGTGATGGAGCTCTGGTGATGTGCTCCCCAGGTTACTTGCTCAACCCCATTGTCTGAGGGCAGGCATGATGCATAATGTTTGATAAATTCTTCAGTTATTAAGCCTTTTCTACATTGTTTTTCATATTGATTTTTCATATTGAGCTTCATGGGGAAGTGGAACAGAATTCTTCCTCTGTAAGCCATGCATGTCGTAAGAGGCAACTAAATTGCTGGAAGCAAGGAGCTAGTAACCCTTTCTCCTGTATACATTACTAAATTTAAAAGCAGAAACTTTCGTTTTTCCTTTTGGGCCACTCTGCCTCACTGGGATATGGCTGGTTTGTTGAAAGAAGTAGTAGTTTCATATTGATGGATCTTAGGATGCTGTTAGTAAGCCATGGGCAATTTAGTCTTATTAGTGATCTGTTTATTTTTTGGGGGGGACAATGTTTGTTATATAGTCTGTGAATTTTGTCTGGAAATATATTTACCCATTTATTGATATTAACAGCATTGGAAAATTCTGTAGGCTTAGTTCTGCAGTGAAGCTATTTATTAATGCCTCATCATGGAGTTGAAGAGTTAGTTAATGATGAAAGGTCAATTACAAAAGAATTACATAATATTTAAACTGGTTCAGTTATGTAAAGTGATTGAGCAGAGATGGTGAAGATACAGCAAGTTACTTAGATTACAATACAAATAAAATGAAACAAGTTAAGTTACCAATTATGTATGGGAGTTGATGGAAGGCTGGAAAAAGAACAGGGACAGAGTTGAATGAAAGTACATGTTTAATCACAGGACCTGTGTTAATGTGAAAAGAAGGTGTGAGAAACATCCACAGTTTCTCGGACAAAAGCGGAAAAGCCACGTGGCTAATGTCAGACTGGCCATCACAAACCAAAGTCACAACCTACTTTTAACCCTTTCAGGGTCCACAGGCCCTCTCAGAGACTTGTTCTCAGGGTCTCATAAATTTCAAAAATCTTATGATCATAATAACACCAAAAGTATGAAATTTGATGGAAAACTTAGGGAATTATGCTCTCGCGAAGTTAGCGGTCTCGACAATGTTTACACATCGGCGATTTTGCTCACTTTGAGCCCTATTTTTGGTGGCCAATTCCAGTGTACTAGTCAACAACACTCATACCTATTTCGCTAGAACTCCATTTTTTCTATCGAATGAGTACAAGAAACCACCCATTTACCGATTTCAACTATCCAATACAGTGGTCAGAATTTAGCAATTTTGCCAATTTCACACAAATTTCAAAAGATGCCAATTTCCAAATAGGGTCCAGAATAAACAAGAAAGACATTCCTGGCAATAAAATAACACTTCTTCTGTTCATTAGTCACGTCCCCACTCCCCTCTTACATTCTTTTGCTTTTCCATTTTGAATTTTTATTCTCACAAAAAATAGAAGATTTACTGTTATGCAGACTACTGCATTAGTGTAGAAATGGTATAAATAATATCGGCGCACTTGTGAAAGAATATTAGACTTACCAGTTGACGTGTATTGGACGCTTAGCATGATTTGTTTACGTACTTTTGAACTTTGGTAAAAATCGAACATTTCTGCTACTTTGAGCTCAATTTCAAGGTACTTTTCATTGTAAAACCAGTCAAAATCATTTCAATTTCAGTAATATGTCTTCCATTCTATCAAATGAGACCAGGAAAACTAGAATACAACAATAAATACCATACGAAAATACACTGCAAAATCACTGTTTTAAACCAAAAACATTGTTGGAGTTTTTTTTTTTCTCATTATGCACTGTGTGCTGCAGGATTTTTTTTATACTGCACACATTGACCACACAGACCCATTCTTTCATATGTAGGCCTACCAGCTCTCACTAGATTTGAAGGCACTAGAATTTATGAGTACTAGTACATCAAGGACCCTGGCACGTAAGCCGTACTAGTACGGCCGAAACCATGAAAGGGTTAATTAAAAAAGAAAAAATAGTAAAAGACAATACACATAAAGACCATCCACACAGGAGAGAACAGCCACAGAATTTTTAAGGAATAAATCAGCAGGCAGTCCTTCAAAAAAATGACACAAAATACCAATGAGTGGGATCTATGTTATGATAAAGTTAAAATTTTTCTTTGGCCTTTCCTAAGTGATAGGGAAAAAAAAATATGAACTGTATCGGGATCATAAGCATGCTGGATAAACTTGAAGTTTTACAAAGATTTACCTCTGTGTAGAATGATTCATTTGGAAGAAGATAGGAAAGGCAGAACCGTCTAAGAAACCACATTAATGATGACGAAACTTCTGGACTTAGAAATGACCTAAAATTTGCTTTAGTGCCTGGGATTCCTGTCTCCACAAACATAGCCGCATTCACAGTGCTCATCTTCTGAAAACAAGAAATACTACTCACTTACATCAAAATAGACCTTACCTATATCAAGTTTTATTATTCTCTGGATGAATTTGTTTTTCTTTCAACAAGAAGCCAGCCATATCCCACCAAGGCAGGGGGCCTGCCAAAAAGAAAACTAAAGTTTCTCTTTTTAAATTTAGTAATATATATGGGAGATGTGGGTTACTAGCACCCTATGCTCCTGGCATTTTAGTCCACCTCTTACAACACGCATGGCTTACGGAGGAAGCATTCTGTTCCACTTCCCCATGGAGATAAGAGGAAATAAACAAAAACAAGAACTAGTAAGAAAATAGTAGAAAACCCAGAGGGGTGTGTATATATATGCTTGTACATGTATGTGTAGTGTGACCTAAGTGTAAGTTGAAGTAGCAAGACGTACCTGAAACCTTGCATGTTTATGAGACAGAAAAAAGGACACCAGCAATCCTACCATCATGTAAAACAATTACTGGCTTCGTTTTACACTCACTTGGCAGGACGGTAGTACCTCCCTGGGTGGTTGCTGTCTACCAACCTACTACCCATAATGAATCATTTTATTTCCTATTATTCACTACGATATGCGATATAAATATAGACCTCTAAATTAGTCAGGACAAAGATAAAAAAATAGATCTGAGAAAGGTAGGATAAACAAAAGTTAGATAATAGTTTTACCTCTCCCTAAAATACATAAAAAATATTCACTCAGTCAAATAAGTTTTTATCTAAACTCAGGATATCAGACCAGTCATAATTTTAAGATTACAAACTAATTTATCTGAAACTATCCAAGGTGCATCGAGTGTTGTTGGTTCATCTTAACAATAGAATTTCATTCCTGTCAGAGAATTTATTTTAAACTTTCCCACATTTTTCAAAATACTGTAGTTAATCTTCATATTTTTATGATATTCATCGTATTATTATCCGAGACTCATTTATAGAAAATACAATAGTATATCACTAGCGAATAGTAGTAGGTTGGTAGACAGCAACCACCCAGGGAGGTACTACTGTCCTGCCAAGTGAGTGTAAAATGAAAGTCTATAATTGTTTTACATGATGGTAGGATTGCTGGTGTCCTTTTTTCTGTCTCATAAAAATACAGGGCTCCAGGTACGTCTTGCTACTTTCTACCTACACTTAGGTCACACTACACATCCATGTACACGTTTATGTATACACACTCATCTGAGTTTTCTTTGATTTTATCTTAATAGTTCTTGTTCTTATTATTTTTCCTTTTATATCCATTGGGAAGTGGAATAAGAATCTTTCCTCAGTAAGCCATGTGTGTTATAAAAGTCAACTTAAATACCGAGAACAATGAGCTAGTAACCCCTTTTCTTGTATAGTCTACTATAAAGAAAAATAAGAAAACCATCAAAGTGGGATGTTTTAACCCTTTCAGGGTCCACAGGCCCTCTCAGAGACTTGTTTTCAGGATCCCCCCAAATTTCAAAAAAAAAAAAAAAAAGATTTTTTTCTTATGAAAAGATAGATTATCTTTTCCTGATCATAATGACACCAAAAGTATGAAATTTGATGGAAAACTTACGGAATTATGCTCTCGTGAATTTAGCGGTCTCGACGATGTTTACGCATCAGCGATTTTGCCCAATTTGAGCCCTATTTTCGGCCAATTCCAATGTACTAGTCGACAAAACTTATAACTATTTCACTAGAACTCCATTTTTTCTATCGAATGAGTACAAAAAACCACCAATTTACTCATTTCAACTATCCAATACAGTGGTCAGAATTTAGCAATTTTGCCAATTTCACACAAATTTCAAAAGATGCCAATTTCCAAATAGGGTCCAGAGTAAACAAGACAGACATTCCTGGCACTAAAATAACATTTCCTCTGTTCATCCCCAGTTCAGGACCCCAATGGTAATAGGTCACTCTGTCTGAATTTTTGGGGTTATCCTAGGTTCTCTACACATATGCTGCTATGTATGATTATTCTATGTAACTGTATGTGTATATACCTGAATAAACGTCCCCAGGCCCCTCTTACATTTCTTTTGCTTTCCACTTTGAATTTTTTTCTCACAAAAAAAAAAATAAGATTTACTGTTATGCAGACTACTACATTAGTGTAGAAATGGCATAAATAATATCGGCGCACTTGTGAAACAATATTAGACTCACCAGTCGACGTGTATTGGACGCTTAGCATGATTTGTTTACTTTTGAACTTTGGTAAAAATCTAACATTTCTGCTACTTTGAGCTCAATTTCAAGTACTTTTTATTGTAAAACCAGTCAAAATCATCTCAATTTCTGTAATATGTCTTCCATTCTATACAATGAGACCAGGAAAACTAGAATACAACAACAAATACCATACGAAAATATAGTGGAAAGTCGCTGTTTTAATCCAAAACCACGATCAAAGTTTTCTTTTTCTCATTACGCACTGTGTGCTGCAGGATTTTTTTTATACTGCGCACACTGACCACATAGACCCATTCTTTCA